TATGCCTGGTACAGTGAATATTACTTTGCTATTTTTGGAATCATAAATTGGAAATTGATAGCTACATGTTGCTGAAGATGCACAACTACAATTACTATACGAATCAGAAGATGAAGTTACATAGTTATTGCTTTGTCTATAAAGCCCATAGTTAGTGAGTTGTCCAGCAAGTAAACTGTTACTTTGAGTTGTGTTTCTTATTGTTAAAAGTGATAATATAAAGTTATTAGCCGTTGATGATATAAACTGTGAAACAATTGCTTGCGTTTGTGACTGGAATACTTCTAGTGGTGTTACGAATGCACTAACATATTGACTTGAATAAAACTCAAGAAGTCGATTTGATATTGTTTGATCAGATAATTGGCAAAATGCATTTAGAGCTTGAAATATAAATGAACCTGACGCTCGAAAGTCATCACCATTCAATGTAGCTGTTCCACGAGCATTAGTAAAATAACTAATCCAGTAGTTAGTGACAAAGATACTTGTACATATCTGATGTAGTTTATAGTTAACATGAAGAAACTTATCATAATTGATGGATACTTGTGTGCATGCACATGTTAATGTTTGTGGATAAGTTGCATATAGTTGTGAGTATTGTATGCTAGTAGGTGAATTGATATAAATAGTTTGTGTGACATTGGTAAGTGAGATATATGAGATAAGTGCAGTTAATGATAAAGTTAACAGAATGATGAATATGCGAGTTGATATTCTTTGATTGCGAAGTTGATGTTCATCGGTTGAAGGTGTAGTTGATGGAAATAAATTAAAGTCTCGAACAGCAGAGCTTATTTTTTGCCATAATTGAGAAAGAGAAACGGTAAGGCATGTCACTAAAAGAAAAGATCCAAACGAAGTATTTATAACAGATTTTCGATAAGGATTCATACAAAAAACACATTTCGACTATCAGTTCCAGAACGGTGTTGAAACATTCTTCTTATATTAATACTCTGTAGCTCGATTTTATATTGCTATATAAGCACAAAATGCATAAAATCCTTCTTCTTTGCATGAAATCAAAGCAATTTAAAAATGAAATAGAGTGTTATTTTATTCAGAATCATTTGGGTATGAACATTCAAATTGGCTTTTGTATCGAAAGATTATTATGAAACTTATTTTTACTGCAGTTTCAAAGTAAATATGTGAGTTTTAAAGTCAATATCTGCATCTTTACTAGAGAGACATGATAATTTTTTAGAAAAGGTTTCAATGTCAATGGATGATTATAAGAATATAGAGATGAGTGAGAATGCTATATTTAAATAATATTTTCACATAACACATTAAATATGTGTTTACATAAGAAACAAAAATAAAAAAGAATACATACTATCTATCTTGAGAATAGACCAATGTTAGGCAATGCCTAACTGAAGATGGTCTGTAGTCAACAGTTGCAGTTGCACTTGAAATTATAAGTGAATATATATTGTTATTTGAGGATCAAAGGTTACAATAACTTTGATAAATAATCTGAAATTGAAATTATGTAAATAAAGACTTACACCATAGTACGATCTAAAATATATTTTATTGATAGATGAAGAACGATAGATACACATGCATAATAATACGCATTAAACCACAGGAAGTGGCAACATAATCTACAGTTAGTTTTTTTGATTTAGCGAATGATTTTGTACACTTGCAAAGCAAAGAATATATATCTATTAGACCATTAATATACTTTATGGCCCACTGTATGTCGGAAATAAATTAGAAAGTAATTCAAGTTCTGACACTCTTCACCAGGGACTAGTAAGATAATCGGAACTAGTAGGGTCTGCTATGGATTAGCAAGGTGTGGATGTAGGCGTGACCGTATGGACGTGCTAGTGAGGGTGTGAGCTTGTGGGTGAATCTGTTGTGCACTCAAATGGTGCATCATCGCGAAGGTGGGTAAGTCGGAGCTATTGGTCATAGTAGTCCCTACTAGAAGTGGTTCCTAGTACGTCATGAAAATCTTTTCTAAAAACTTATTATAATTACATAAATATATATGCACATGTACATATATAACCACCCAGGCCTATCAGAATGGTATCGTTTTGGATCGAAAACGCACCTTATCTGACCGTTTTCTCTTCGTTCACAGATAAAATTTGAATTGTAATGTACGATTCTTGTACGATCTTATTCTACGATTGTGCAAAATTTATTTTTCATACAAGATTTTAAACCGAGTTTACATACATTTTATTTATCGCTTTTATCGCTTGCTTTTAATTTCTGACCTTTCTCTAATCAACTGTTCCTCATCACATTCTCACACTTCCCATCACTTTTCCTCAAACATTATCATAGCTATGCACCTAATTCATACTGACCATTTCGACGACGCCAGCAAAACATCTAAATAAAAACAAAGAAAAATTTAATATATAAAATTTATACTTACATATACCACGATATTATTAAAATATCTAAAGAAAATAAAAAATAAAAATAAAAACTTATTTTATTAAATTCATGCTTACCTATTCGACGATAAAGTTGAAATATCTAAAAAGAAAATATGAACTTTGTATACAAAAGCCTAGTTTTCTATACAATGATATTAAAATATCT